ATGCTATGCAAGTCTACTGGCACTATAAACCCCTGCGTAAGTCACCGTCCCTGCTCCCACAATGCAGTCTGTGGGGCACACGGTGGTCATCGTCGAAATCGACGGACGAACTGTCGTGTGTGTGTGTGTGTGTGTGTGTGTGTGATGTATGGACTGGTGGGTAGATGTGTTGTGACGCGTTTTGGTCTGAGCTGTATAAGCGCGTGTCTTTATGAAGGCCCATGCGATGGCTGATTGTGCGTGGTCAGTGCGGGCAGTTGGGTGGGGTGGGTTGTAGCGGTTAAACGTGTGGTTTCCAGTCATTGGTCCCTCATCAGTCGATAATAATAACGACGAATTCAGAGGGCCAACCAGAGCTCAAAGTGTGCTTACGGACACGCAGTTCCATCTTACCGCATGTCCTAAACTCCAATCGACTGATTTGACACACACACTAATAGTGCTCCTTGAAAAGCAGCAGACAGATCTTGGCACAAAATGCATATTTATTCCAACAATGGTAATGTAAACAGAAATGGCGTGATTGTCGGACGGGTCAGCACGAAGAATCTGTTACACTTCCTCCTCCCAATTTGTTCGTCGGATGCGTCCAGACTTGGAGGCCGCTCTCTCCTTGGCCATGTACACTGTAAATGGAAAGAAAACATGCGCAGGTAGTTTATTTTGTCAACACAAGCACATTCATGCAGGGAGCTAATTTACCCACCCCTATCACTGCTTCTGTCAATCCTCACGATATCAATACAGAATAAAGTATGCAAAGTGTGGCGTAGACACACAAACGTACTCTCATATTTTGTCGGAAGCCGTACGCAGCGGCTCTCATCGCAGACATATTTCTGTCCATTAAGAATGGGGAAGGTGAGACCCGGTGTCTCACGGAGACGAGGATCAACATATTGATGTCCTGGCATGACTTGTCTGAGAGGTGCGGTTTCGGTGGATACTCTCCTTGTCAGATGAATTCCAATTTATAGCGGAATTTTTGTCGTCTTCACCAGTGAATACCTTCCTCGTCAGAGGTATTCCAATTTATAGGGGGATTGTTGTTGTTGTCACCACCGCCACCGTCGCCGCTGCCGCCACCGCTCCGCACGGAGGAGGGCTCCGTACTTTCGTCACGTGTTGAGTTAAGGGCGTGAACCTGTTTAGCGCACCATTCAGACTGCAGCATGCCTGGGAATGCGGATTCCATGCCGTTTTGGATCGCAGTGAACGTTGGTGAGTGCCGTGTGAAAATGACTTGGCTTTTGATGCATTAACCCGTCTCATTGGAAAACGTAGAAATGGGAGTGGATGGGGAGGTGTGATGCACCAACCTCGTTGCAAATACAAGAGCACTTAAACTGATCCCGTGTTTAGATCGCATGTTGTTGAATAGAGCGCGAATTTTGCAGGCGCAACTTCTAATGATGCGTGTAGAGTGGGAAAGTTTGATTTTAAAGTCCATCTGAAATTCCTCAATGCATTATGGTTGCGACTCTGTATGGTGGAAGAATTTGCCACGGATTAAGTAGATTGGGGAAGAAGGGAATGTGGATTTAAGTGTCATGGGATGGCTCGTTACATCGTATTAAGTTTTTATGCCGCATACGGTCTTACTCGATTAGGACTTCCTTAAATGATCACCTCGGATGACCCGTTTCCCGCCCGCTGACACGTCCTTATATCGAGTCTTTCGAATCACGCGATCTGTTTCGTCACCCCGTTGGAGTAATAAAACAAATGTATGACAGAACCCTGAGTTTTCTCAACGCCTTCCGCAAATTCCGTTAGTCTCCGCGTCCGTCTGCCTAAATCATAAAACTAATATTAACATCCTTCCCGTGTTGCAGATGTCCCTGCACCCTATTTTCTCAGGAAACTTACATATTTACTCCTTGCCAAGACGAGGACTGAAGCTCAAATCGCGCGAGTTCCCAGCTGTATTTACTCTGTTACTTGACGTAACACCATCACCGTCGCGGACGACAATGGCACGGTGTGCCCAGAAGCAGAAGCGGTTACTTGCGCACGTATTGCCTTCTCAGGGTAGACGGCTTGCGCAGCGTCTACCGCACTCCTTCCTCCCTCACTCACCGAGCCTGTTGTCATGCAGAACGCAAGTGGGCTCAGACACCCTGACTGACAGAGCTACGCAGCTCATCCAAACGTGCAACTCTCATTTGGGCGGCTCGCCTTCCAAATGAGGGGGGGTGCGACAGAGGCCACATTGTGAAGGAGCTTTTGTAGCCAGTGTCTCCGTCATGAGGGAAGAACCGCCAGTTGGCATCCTTTCCATTCACGAAATTTTGGCGTCCTGGAAGACTCGAGCGCACGTCAGATTTATTCTAGTGAGGAACGTGGTGAAGTGCCGTGGGGATAGATCTCCCAGAATCGGCCTTACTCCTTCTTCTCTCTCCCATGCACAAGTCGGTTGACAACTCAACTGATCACTGAGGATGCTTTTGAGATCATCCCATTGTCATTGGCGAGCGCAATCATTGCGTCATGCAGTTGGCTTATCTTACGACTGAATCGGTCAGAACATCCAAATTTCCGCAGGATTCTTCAGCTTCAATCGAGATGCATTACCTTGTCGGTGGTTGCGGGATGTCATCAAAATCCACATGGGCTTTCCGGGAGAAGTTCCTGTTGCAGTTGGCTGTTGGAGGATGCAGGCAACGTTCATCCAGACTGTGTTGAGCAGTGAGATTCCCATGTGGCTATTACAGACTTATCGGTTGTCCTTGTGGGTGTATGTGTGCACACTGATGACTTCTTTGAAATTCTTGAATACTCGTCCTTGCCGCCACATCTCCTGGAACAAAGTTGTAAATTTCCCTGTCGACCGGGGACTGCTGTACTTATCGTCTGGGGTTTGCGGTTTCTCACTGAGGAGACTTGTTCCGTCGGTACTGATCCCCGACGCGGTTTCGCTGGTCTTTGGCTCGTTGACAGTCTTGCTTGAGGCAAGGTTGTTCTTCATTTTATTGCGGTTCTTGAATTTTTTTCAGTCCTGCGTCCTACCCAGGGTTTCTGTATCTCCCACATTCTCTAATTCGCCAGACGTCGACAACGGAGAAAAGGAGTTTCGTCTACGCCAGTCCAGCGATCAATGTAGGCTTTTGTGCAACCTATTGTTTTCTGAGTGCAGAATAATGATTTCCTGAAAGTTTTCATCAAGGCAGTTCTGGTGATGGCAGCATACGCGACCCGGCACATCCCTGTCACTGAAATGATTTATGTTCTTCAGATGCATCACCGTGCCTCCATGGTGGCGTTGTTGTCTGGAGCCTGCAGATCTGCCAGGCTGTGGCTAAAATCTGGGTGGTGAGCAGACATATTCGACAGAACAGTCTTTAACTTACCTAGTAGGGGGTTACCCTGTGGTCTACTTTAGGTGTGGGTTCACAGCATCAACTAGGAGGAGGAGGAGGAGGAGGAGGAGGAGGAGGAGGAGGTATGGGATGGCGGACAGAATAATGGGATGTAGAGACACACAATACCCGGAAAGCCACTGCGGCTTCCGTCGTCATCGTGGGACCACGGATATGATCTTCGCAGCCCGCCAACTTCAGGTGAACTGCCAGGAGATGCGGACCCACCTGTACTCTACCTTCGTGGACCTGACGAAAGCCTTCGACACGGTGAATCGTGAAGGACTGTGGAGGATTATGCAGGAATTCGGCTGTCCGGAGCGATTCACTCAGATGGTGCGTCAGCTGCACGACGGTATGTTGGCGCGAGTCACGGACAACGGAGCTGTCTCAGAGGCATTCGCAGTGACCAACGGAGTGAAGCAGGGCTGTGTGCTGGCGCCTACCCTCTTCAGTCTCATGTTCTCTGCCATGCTGATGGACGCCTACCGCGACGAACGCCCTGGAATCCGCATCGCCTACAGGACGGACGGTCGTCTCCTGAATCAACGGCGCATGAACTCCCAATCGCGTGTATCCACAGCCACCGTGCACGAACTCCTCTTCGCCGACGACTGCGCCCTGAACACCACCTCGGAAGAGGAGATGCAACGGAGCATGGACCTATTCTCCGCCGCCTGCGAGAACTTCGGTCTGGTCATTAACACGCAGAAGACGGTGGTGATGCATCAGCCGCCTCCCAACTCAGCCACAGTCCCCAACGCGCCGCCGCAAATCAACGTCAATGGGACTCAACTGCAAGTGGTAGAGAACTTCCCGCACCTGGGCAGCACGCTCTCCCGCAACACCAAGATCGACGACGAAGTCGCCAACAGGATCTCGAAAGCCAGTCAAGTCTTCGGTCGCCTCCAAAGCACAGTTTGGAATCGTCATGGTCTCCAACTGAGCACAAAGCTGAAGATGTGCAAGGCCGTCATCCTGCCGACGCTACTGTACGGAGCGCAGACCTGGACGGTGTACACGAGGCAGGCACGTCGACTAAACCACTTCCACCTCAGCTGTCTCCGCCGCGTACTGAGGCTGAACTGGCAGGACCGCATCCCCGACACCGAAGTGCTGGAACGGACGGGAATTCTGAGCATCTACTCCATGTTGAGACAAATGCAGCTGCGCTGGAGCGGCCATATGGTGCGCATGGACGACGAGCGACTACCCAAACGACTCTTCTACGGAGACGTCGCGACGGGTTCTCGTCGTCAAGGAGGCCAAATTCGCCGGCGATCGTGTCTCCTTCTTCAAGACTACTTCCTGGGACTCGGCTCTTCGCTTCTATTGGCAATACTCTGAAGTCCTCCCTGAAGCGCCTGCACATCAACCCGACCAACTGGGAAGAGCTCGCCCGCGATCGTCCGACATGGAGGAGAACAGTGAAGGCGGGCGCTGCTATCTACGAAGTCAACCGCATCGCCGCCGCCAAAGTGAAACGCGAAGCCCGCAAATCACAACTTCGCCCAATACACAACGCCGCCGCACAACCTCTCCCTACGTGTCCTCGATGTCAACGGACATTCCGGGCACGAATCGGACTTGTTGGACATCTTCGAACCAACTGCACCTCTCGAACTGCTCCAGCCATCGTCCCCGCGCCCGCCTCTTCCTCGTCCTCTCTTCCGCCAACTAACTCT